AGCAATCCACACACTAAATTGAGTTGGAATTCTGTAATGCTGTTACATTTTAGAACACAGTGAGCTACAGTATATTAAACAAAAAAACTCTATTTGTAAATTGCCCATTTCACATGACCATCACATATGTGAATGTTTATGTAAATCCTAATATTTTTTGTAAAAGTCGAACTGGGCCCAACCATGTTGGTGACTAAAGCCATTCATCATTTTAAGAAATTGCACCAAAAAAACTCCGTGCTTAGGAGGAAACTCACCTACCAAATATACCATACAATAGTGAGCTGCTGCCATAAATACATACAATTACAATATAACCTAAAAGAGCAAATAAAAATTTGTTTACTCTTTTGAGATATATTGTCATCCATCATTTTATAGAAGAAAAAGGAAGGATGGAGAATCCATGGGCCAAGCTCATTTCTTACAAGAAAAGTCAAGTTTTCCATATACAGTAAGTTTAGTTGCTGATCTTTTTAATCTACTGGTTGACTGATGCCTTTTAACTAAAGTGAAAACCCTGTTTATTTTGATTTGCCTAGGACTGCAACAGGTTTACTCATATAACAATGAAGCTTCATCTACGTAAAAAATACCAGCCAACAAAACACAGGAAAAGATCAATACATCAATAGATAGCTAATCACGGGAAAGCTCCAGTGAATGCTGCAAGGTCACTGAAGAGCTATTTTGCTGAAAGCAAAGTAGTGAAGTTCATTCTTTCTGTTCATCGAAGTAGCATTGATGTATTGAAAGAAGATAGAGCTTTTCCTCTTAGTCAATTTTAGCTCCAAAAGATAGCTCAAAAATTGAATACACAATACAAGACATCTGAAAGGACAAGTTAGATTACATCCAATTTTATATGTGTTTCAATTCATTTTATGAATTGCTAAACTGATGATAGTTCAAACCCTGCAAAAAAGCATTGTGAGTATTATGGGCTAGAAGAGGAATAAAATTCTTGTCTTCCTGGCACTTCAAAAGGAGCTACAAGAAAACTGAATTCCAGGCAAATATAAAATATATCATAATTAAATCAAGTTATGTAATTATTAGAAAAGAATCATTGCAAGATTACCACAACCTGACAGTTGGGACACCTCAATAAGTAATGAATGTACCACTTAATTAATGATCAGACTGATGTAGAAATATTGCTACTTTAGTTGATGAAGCTGCTGGTTTGTGATAATATTTTCCGCTAATGTCAGGCCTCTCATTGTCCCCATGATTAAAGTGTTACCTTTGGAAGATGCTACATGTCATTACCGTATTTAGGGTGTAACATGTAACATGTTCCAGCTTGTGCCCCGCTTCCCCCCACTCTATCCACTATGACAGCGGGTGGGGGATCCTCCCAGTACCCGCTGTCAGAATTTATAAATGGCACAGCTGTGTACACAGCCTCATCATTCTTTCGCAGCTGTCTGTGAATGAATAAACTACAAGTCCCATCTGCCATCGCAGCAAAGATCTCAATGGGCTGCGAAAGTCACGGATGAGCACACAGCTTGTCACTGAAAGCCCATAAAGAGGTAAAAGCTGAAGGGAGAGTGTGCAGGAGCCTGACACTGTACCAGCGATCCAGTGCAATGTTTTGCGGGCTCCTGTAGGGAAAAATAATAAATGCACATTTTTTTCCTGCAAAAACATGTGCATTCATTATTTTTTCTACAAGGTGAACGTATCCTTTAATTATTATTATGTAATGTGCAAAAAATGTATAACATTTATTGAAACAGAAAAAAATCATTACATTTGTTTTTTATTAATAAATATATAATATGTTTCTCTAGATTCATTAACTTGTCAATATATTAGTTTCAAGTCATACATTTTGGTTCACAACTCTATTGCATTGCACAGTTTTGTCAGTCTAACACTGTGAACATGTTTACAGGAGGGAAAAGCACAGAGATTGGCTCATTTGTGTGCTACAACTTCTTTATTATACAATTATCTGGCTGGACGCAGGGAGGCAATACCATTGTAATCCTACACCTTTGCCAGAGACATTTTTATTTTTGTGCAGACATAATAAAGCACATGTGAAACACGGAAAACAGTATATAATTTCTGAAAGCAGAGATCCTGAGGAAAAAAAAGGTAGTAGTGGCAATTCTTTGTCACATGATATGTGTTCTACTGTTTATCAAATATATATTTTCAGCAATAAATACACTCACATTTATTTTAGAGCACATAAACACAATATCCCTAGATGGCCAAATAAAAATGATGATGTTGCTTTAGGTAAATAGATAACAAATATGTGAAGTCCTAATATTGCGGACCCAAAATTGTCCATAGGTGACACTTTAAAAGGCCTAGAAATATACAGTACCTCTCACTTAACATGTGTGGTAAGGCCTAATATGTATTGTGCAATTGTTTTCGTACATGTGCACACCTGAAGCATGTGTTTGCTTTGTATGTTTGTGTATCTAGGGGTAAGGATGTTTTTATTTTATTAAGTGTTCTTGCATGGCAAGACCACTTACTGTTATCTCACATATATATTCTTATTATTATATAGCAAATTTACCACCCTAACTCCTCCCACAGTTTTTACACTACATAGACAGTAATATACCGAAACGTGTGTATTGTTCCCTATTGGTGTGCTATTACTTTGTGGAACGTTTCACCGAATGGTTCACGAAATATCGGCGTTTTTGTGGTAAAATTGGTTCCATAGGAATGAATGGCGGAATGTTCAAAACTAGAGTGGGAGCTGGCAAAAGCTAGAGTGTGAGCTGAAAAATCAGGACATGATTTCTAAACTGCCATCTCTCCCTCATTTTCAAGCCCACCTACACAAATCGTATATCAAAACGTTTAGCTATCCCTGCTGCCACTAAAAATGTCCATGGCTAAGCCATGGTCCTGATAGTTTTTCACAATAAGACCATTTGTTTGCAACTCACGCCGACCATTGACATTCATTGAAACTCCACTCTAGCCACCTCAGATTTGAAGGGCAATTTCTAAACTACCACTGTGCCTTCATTTTTAATATTTCAGAGACATACTATGCATCAAAATGTAGGTCTGGGTCTTGTGATTCTCATAATACAAAGCTCTTCAGTGTAGGATAAACTACAACCGTTTGAAAATGGCAACCGCCAGTGAAGTGAGCAAGTTGTAGCAGTTTGTTTTTAACTGCTCTTCTCTGCCCTTGCTGTAGAGTGAGTTGCCATAGGAACCCAGGTGTGTGAGCAGGCAGCAGAGTGACAAGCCACTCCACCCAGTTACTCCACCCACTCCAGTTGTATACTACTGGTGGAGGCAAGAACACTTCAAACAATTTCCCCAGAAATTGTAACTTTTCTAGTTTATTTTTGTTATACTTCAGTTTTTTAAACTTTTTTCTCTTTATTTTTACTTAACTTTATTGCTATTACAAGGACAAGCCCCTATCTGATATGATCTCCTGAAAATGCTAGTTGTCTACAGTTATTTTGACACACTGGAGTTAACTTTTAAATAATATCATGTTTACTTTGCAAGGGTAGTCACACTTTGCAAGGGAGCTTGCTCCAATGCTTAATGAATGAGGTTAAGGTCTGCTGACTTCCATCATCCAATCCCGTGCAAGCATTTTTTTTATTTGTATTTTCCTTGATTGTTTTTTTTTTTACAAATGAAGTTTTACCACATTCACTAAGCAACAGTTTTGTCTTTAGTAAATCAGTCCCACTGATTTGAAATCTTTATGAAATGCTGAGCCAGAACAAGCATGCAGATCAGAAAGAAGTCACAAATCTTTATGTGTTTACTGAGTATGTGTCAATAATTCAATGTATTTAACCACTTGCCTACCAAGCACTTTTACCCCCTTCCTGCCCAGGCCAATTTTCAACTTTCAGCGCTGTTGCACTTTGAATGACAATTGCGTGGTCATGCAACACTGTACACAAACAACATTTTTAGCATTTGTTTTTAGATAGAGCTTTCTTTTGGTGGTATTTAATTACCACTGTTTGTTTTTTTTTGTTTGCTAAACAAACTAAAAATCCTGAAAATTTTGAAAAAAAAAACTTTTTTCTTAGTTTCTGTTAAATAAGTTTGTAAATAAGTAATTTTTCTCTTTCACTGATGTGCGCTAATGATGCTGCAGTGATGGACACTGATCGGCGGCACTGATGGGTATTGGCAGGCATCACTGATGGGCACTGAAAGGCAGCACTCACATATGGCACTGATAGGCGGCACTGACTGGCACTGATAGGCAGCGCTGATTGGAACTGTTAGGCGGCACTGATGGGCACTGTTGAACACTGATAGGTGACACTGACTGGCACTGATAGGTAGCACTGATTGGCTCACTGATGGGCACTGATAGGTAGCACTGACAGGCACTGATAGGCAGTATTGACTGGCACTGATAGGCAGCACTGAAAGGCAGTTCTGATGGGCACTGATATGTGGCATTGATGTGCACTGATCTGTGGCATTGATGTGCACAGATGGGAGCCAGTATGTGGCATTGATGGGCACTGACAGGTGGCACTGATGGGGCTACACTGATAATCAGGACACTGATGACCAGTGGCCTGATGATCAGTGTACATGTCCCCTGTGAGGAATGCCGCTTACCGGCTCTCCTCTCCTACGTTATCTGCTCTTTACTGCAATCGCTGATCAGCGCACCACCGATCGCCGCGCCTCATGCCCCTGCAGACCACTCATGCGCAGCTAGAGTGGGAAGACGTCATATAACATCCTCCCAGAACGAGAGAGCCGCCACCCTCCTGTCATTTCATTATATGGCAGACTGCAGGCGGATAAACAATAAAGTCTGAAGATCAACCAGGCAACTTGCATTTTTAGAAGGAAGGGTCAGCACTGACAACTTTTATGTTACAGGTTTCCTTTAAATCAAATAAGCACATACCTGAATCCTAGGTAGTGTCAAGTTCCAGTTATCACAATTCATTAGAGCAGGGCTTACAATTTCAAGTCCCGAGCTACTAGCCAGGCCTTAGAGTTACAACGCCATCAACAAACATACACAAACAGAGACACCTGTCCACACACATGGACATGTACATACACACACACACACACAGAAACATGTACACACACACGCACAGAGACACATGTACACAGACAGACACATGTATACACACAGATACATTTACATGCACAGACACATGTACACACACAAAGACACATGTACATACATACACAGACACATGTACAGATACACACAGACCCATGTACAATTGTACATGCATACACAGACACACACACAACACACACACACATGTACACGTACAGTTGTGACCAAAATTAATTCAACCCCCACTGAAATTGAGTGTTTTGGCCAGTTTGAGGCTGACATTGCTTTTGATCATTCAGTCATCTTGCTTACATTTACATTAAAGAGGCACTTGTAGGTCAGACAAATATAACATAACAGTTTAATGAAATAACCACAAATGTCTTTTCTGTGCTCACAGCATTATCAGTTTTATTCAACCCCCAAGTGACATTCAATCTTAGTACTTAGTACAGCATCCCTTTTACAGTTATAACAGCTTTTAAAACGTGAAGCATAGCTTGACACAAGTGTCTTGCAGCGATCTACGGGTATCTTCGCCCATTCTTCATGGGCAAAGGCCTCCAGTTCAGTCACATTCTTAGGCAGCGCACTGCAACTGCTTTCTTTAAGTCCCACCAGAGGTTCTCAATCGGATTTAAGTCTGGTGACTGCGATGGCCACTCCAAAATGTTCCAGCCTTTCCTCTGCAACCATGCTCTAGTGGACTTGGAGGTATGCTTGGGATCATTGTCCTGTTGAAAGGTCCAACGTCTCCCAAGCCTCAGGTGTGTGACGGACTGCATCACGTTTCCATCCAATATCTCCTGGTACTGAAGAGAAATTCATGGTACCTTGCACACGCTGAAGCTTCCCTGTACCTGCAGAAGCAAAACAGCCCCAAAGCATGATTGACCCTCCACCATGCTTCACAGTAGGCAAGGTGTTCTTTTCATCATAGGCCTTGTTCTTCCTCCTCCAAACATAGCGTTGATCCATGGGCCCAAAACAGTTCTAATTTTGTTTCATCAGTCCACAGAACACTATCCCACAACTTTTGTGGTTTGTCCACATGGCTTTTGGCATACTGCAGTCGACTCTTCTTATTCTTTGGAGACAGCAAGGGGGTACGCCTGGGAGTTCTGGCACGGAGGCCTTCATTACGCAGTGTGCGTCTTATTGTCTGGGCTGAAACTTCTGTACCCACATCTGACAAATCTTTTCTCAGTTCCTCAGCAGTCACACGGGGACTTCTCTCCACTCTACGCTTCAGGTAGCGCACAGCAGTCGAAGTCAGCATCTTCTTTCTGCCACGACCAGGTAGCGTTTCAACAGTGCCCTTTGCCTTGAATTTGCGAATGATGCTTCCTAAGGTGTCTCTTGGTATGTTTAACATCTTTGCAATCTTTTTTTCTCTTATAGCCATTGCCCTTCCTGTGAAGAGAAATCACCTCTTCTCTTGTCTTCCTGGACCATTCTCTTGCCTTCACCATGTTTGTAACCACACCCAGTAAATGTCTAGAAGGAGCTGAGTATCACAGTCATTTTAAAGCTGCCTAATTGGTGCTTATTATGCTTGATTGCTGCTCGGTGACATCCACAGTGTTTTCAATACCTGAAACCTGTATGAACCTCTGTTCTTCAGAGTGGTAGTCTTTAAGGGGTTGAATAATTGTGGCAATGAAGAAACCACATAAGAACCATTTACTACTGTATTACATAAACAATTGATGTCATTTTAGTTGCATTTGGGTAGTTACAACTCCTTGTAGGATTTGATTCTGAATACAATTCCAAATGTACACTATAGTCCCTAAACCCCTTTACAGCATTGGGGGTTGAATATTTTGGTCACAAACTGTACACACACCACCCCCCTCCCCCCATAAAACGTTGCAGTACTTCGTTGTTCACTCACAGATCCGGGTACTGCACTCTAGGGGAAGGCAAAAAGCACAGCACACATTCCTTGCTTTGCTTTCACTGCGCTCAGCTATTGAGCAATCTGACGGCTCCCAGTGCCAATGACAGATCCGGCCTGAGCTCCAAGCCTGCTCAGCAAGATGGCCCTGGGGGACACATTCAACCCACCATAATTTCCACTCGCCATTGGCGAGCAGGCGAGTGGAAATTTCAAGCCCTGCATTAGAGGATCTGTTGCTGAACAGCTTTCAGTGAGCCTCTTAAACCTGAGTTTACCTGCAGCATACCACTTCCTGACTCAGCAAAATCACATTGTAGATTGTGCATCTCACATTGTAGTGTAGGGTTCCTTACAAAAGGTTAGTAAGCCCCACTGTTGAGCCATTGGGATGAGCTCTATATAAGAATGGCATTGTGGGAAGGCCAGAAACACTTGGTATGTCACTTCACTTTCCCGGGTGGACAGAGTCACAGGCATGCAAAAGGAAGGCTAGTATAAGCAATTGCAGAGAATGGCATTGAAATAACCCTTTGTAGGCAAAAACACAGGTTTACTTATAGCGGAGCTCCACTCACTCTGTAAAAAAAAAAAGTTAGCAGCTACAAAAACTGTAAACACAGCCACTCACCTGTCCCATGATCTTGCGTTGCCCCCGCTGCAGCCCGTTTCAATCACCGGCCATCCTGTATTCTAGGAGGCCGGCATCTTCAGTGTGGGCACCCGGCTGTGACTGCTTGCGACTTCCCAACTGGGTGCCCACTGTGCATGCGCGAGTAGTGCTGTGCTTCCTGAATGGCCCTGTCGTCTTCTGGGACCTGTCAAGTGTCCCACAAGACTTCGGGGAGGGAGGGTAAGAGAGGACAACTTCCGTCTCTGATCGCCTAGGCAATTGCATAGTGGGGGCGGGTACTTGTCAAATTTGGGTACCCGGTCCTCCCTGCTCCCCAAAGGTGCCAATCCTTAATGGGGAGCGGGGACCAATCTTTAAAGCGGAAATTCTCCTTTTGAGTGGAACTCCACTTTAAGGTTAGACAAAACCTGAAATTACACCTCAATCTTCAACTCATGAGGTCAGTCTGGTGGACTGTGTACAATGCAGATGTGCTTTCATAAACCAATGAATAATACATTATTGCAGTATCAGCACCCATGGGGAGAAAGGCACACTTGACTTTTCACTATGGTGGATAATACATTTGAGTGATCTCTAAGGTGTTTTAACCCAAAGCAATTAATTGGATATTAACTTTCAGGAGTGTACTTAAATATTTCCAGTTGGTGTCTTTGGATTACTTCATAGATTTATTTTTCTTTTACACCTGTTAAATACAAACAATTTCATCATTTTTTTTATTGAAAGTCTTAGTTTGCTAGCAACTAGAGCAAATTGGGTTTGGGTAACTGGAAATGTGACATTCCCTAACCTTTAACAGAAATATTTTCCATTTATAAGACCTAGAATAAAACGTAGATGTGAAAATAGAGTCTGCTACAAACATCATAATGACTTCAATCAATGGCCTTCTAGTAGACAAAAGTTATATGGAGGAGATTAGACTTTACTAAATTGTAACATACAAAGGTATTATTCTCTGCCAGTCCCTGGGCATTATGACAGAAAAAATCCATAGTTCAGATGTAATTTACTTTACAATAAAAGACATGGTCATTCAGTGCTTCCAGCAGGTCTGTGTTATTGTGTTTAGAATTGTTTGGGTTAAGTAGCTATTTTAACCCAGATTACAGGCAATTCAGCAATGACTTGTCCATCTCATAATTTATTTCTATAATAAAGAGGAGAAAGCTAGGACATGGCAGCCTACTGGCTTAGTGAGCTATGCTTTATTGTCACTAGTCACTAGTGAAGTTGGCAAGTTAAGTTCAAAGGTAGATTGCAGATTAATAAAACATTATTAATAGAAAGGAAACTATTGCAAGTAAGCATTTACTTGATTTTTTTGTGCGTTTACCTGCAATTTTTTAAACCAGGGACTTGATTGCTTAGCTGATGTAATCTATGAAACGACAAATATTAATATATATCCTTTTACATTTTTGCTGCTATGGACCTGCTCCCTTATTTTGCCCTCACACTTGCCAAGGCGATTTTTCAGTTTTAAATAGTTTAGTAGAGATTAAATAGATATCTGATATCTCCAGTGCTATGCAGAGATGGAGAGAAAGTCCACGTTCTCGATTTGCTAACCTGAGCTGGTACCATGTCTGAGTTTGTAATGAGCACTTTAGCAGATTGGCAGAGGTTTGCCTAATTTCTTGCAGAGAAAAGCAGGGATGCTGACCAGTAAGATGATCAAGTATTTATGCTCATGAGTATGAACATACGGTTTCAACAATTCACTCTCTATTACAACACGAGTCGTGCCACGGTTGCATAGGAATGATACAATCATGGACTTATCTATTACATCTATAGTAGTCAAATTATAATTTTTTTGCCTATGTAACACCTCATATATTATTTTGAGACTATATAAAAGTTTCTTAAGACCATTTATACACACTAGTATAAATTGGGTTCTCAGGTGTCAAAAAGATTCCATGATACTTTAGGAATATATTCTGAGTGAAAAGAGTGAACATTTTTCAATGGAGCTCAATGGCTCTGTATATTGAGCTGGCATTACTTTATACCAAAATGCACTATCTGTTTGTATTTAGGAATGATCATACTGGGTTTGGTTCAGTTTGTGGAGATCTGTGAACCCTGAACTTGCCAAAGCCCACTGGAGTCTAGGGCATGTGAAACCTGTATTGTATTTATGGCCTTTTTTTCAAGGGTAATTTGCATTGCCATGGGGGACATGTACCAATGCAAAAATGTTTTTTTCAAAAATACCGTTTAGTAGGGATAGAGTCTTTTCATGGAGTTTAAAGGGCAATGCTGAAAATACACAAATTCTTAACATTTTTGAAGGATGCCTGAGAGGATCTTGTAAAGTTTCAGGACAGTGTGATGTAGTTCTTTAAGAAAAAAACACTAATAAAAGAAAAAATGGGAAAAGACATTGCAGGGTTTCTCTTAAAATTGAAGTCAGACCCTCATCCAGACATGCAGCCTGTGTGACCAGAAAAGGGAGCCCAGCAGGTGTGCGGGCCCCTTTCCTGAACCATACCAGGCCACTTGTTTTTTAACATTGGGGGGTACCTTCCAAATGCAGTGTCCAAGGATTTCTCCATGCAGAGTACCTTGTCCTAATGTTAGAGGATAAGACACTCTTCTCCAAATTTTGTGCTTAAAAAGGGGTGTGAGGGCTTATTTGTGTATGAGTGGAAGATGTATAGGAATCTGAAATAGGAATCTAGCAGATATCCTGCCCCCCAGGAGAATATGTTTGGGGTACATCTGTTACAAAACATATTCAAAATGACCCCTTTTTGGAAAGTAGACATTCCAAGGTGTTTTTATCTTTTGCTACTTTTTTTGGAAATGAACATGCTGGTATTCAAGTGAATAAAACACAGAGCTTTGTAATGGTGCACTAGATACAGTGCATAATTAAATGTACCAGTCATACACAGAGGTAGGAGGAAGTAAAGGCGTTAGTGTGCAGGTCACATATAGTGGGGCTTATTGTGTAAATGTGCAAGATAAAAGAGGTGAATGGGTTAATATAAGGTCATCACAGAGACAGGATGAAGCTGAGATATACAGAAAAGGGGAGTTGCAATTCTCATCCCTACTGATATTAATGACAGTACTCTTATTCTTCTTAATACATTTGAGCCAGAGGAGCCTCCTATCCAATGCAATGGACAAAATTGCAGAGAGTTACCTTGAGTAATATCCTGAAATGTTTGTTGATTTTGCTCATAACATTTTTGGAGGTTTTCTGTGTTCCAATTGACCTAACGGTTGTTCATAACTTAGGTGTCTCAGAACCACTCTTACTGGTTAATTTCCCATTTTGGCACTGTGAGAAATCTGCAGCAGGCCATTTGGTTCAGCAGCTAAAGTAACACAGGCCATGCTTGTCCTATTGATAATATAAACAGAAACAAGGAGATTGGATTATTGAAATGTGTGCAATTTATTTGTAAAAGAAAGGGGGTGAAGAACAATCTGATATTTTTAAACTTTGCCATTTTTCCCCATAGGCAGCAATTAAAATAGAAGACTGAAAACTAACTGACTGTAGAAACATATATTATTACTAGCTAAAACCTTTTCATAGAAATATATGAGGACAACAACCAATATTTTATTTTTTTTAATACAGATCTAAACGTCCAGGACCAGTTCCAACAGCCACACCACGAATGGACTCACCAATGCCAGTGATACCACATCAGAAGGTAATTGTGCATTTGTGTATTTGTTTGAAAAGATATTTTTAGAGTTGACAGACACCTATATATCTTATACCTAAAGTTATGCATGTATAAGAAAAATGAAAACACAAATTATTGGCATATAAGATGTGACACACATTTCTCTATGCATTTCCATAGCCCATCCCATATATCCCACCAAACTTTATTAAATTATCTTATAAAAAATACAAAACAAACTGTTGATGAATATAAGTGGAAGAACCATCAAGGAAATAATTTGAGTATTAGGCAGGCCATAGACAGGTCGTTTATCGGCCGAATTTTGGGCTGATAAACGAAAAATCGGTCGGCCCCTTGCCGATGCTGCCACCCATGTCCATGAAAAACGTCCGTTTTTCACGGATTTTCCAGCATGACCGATAAAAATAAATGAGGAGATCCGCAAAAAACGGCCGACGGGCTGGCCCCACTAACGGCGTGATTATTGGGCGATTTTTTGTGTGGACGAAAATTCAGGCGATAAACAATCCCCTCTATGGCATGCATTGGGTAATTACTCAGTACAATCAAGCAGCATATCTGACATGTTTAAGAAATATTGGCTTTTGTTAACACAAGATAAGGACCTAAAAGTGGTCCTAGAGAACACTACTAAATTAACCTAATTGGAGATTAGGTAGCGTGGTCAACATGGTCAACTGACCGAAAGAGACAAAAGAACATTGTGCAGGATTGTGGCCTGGAATAAGAAAACAACTGCTGCAAATGTGACCGCAAAGCTCAGTCTCAATACCGTGAATAATAGTAAATTCTTTTAAATGAAAAATGTAAAAATACACTCCACACTTTTTCTAAAGTAATTTAATAAAGTTTGGTGGGACACTGATGGGCTATGGACATGAATGGAGGAATATTTGTCACA